TAATTTTTTTTTGGATTTTTCTCTTCTTCTTGCTGTTCTGATTGGGTGTTTTTTGCTTTCTTATATTCCAAATTGCTGAGTTGATTCTCAGCTTAATCTACTCTACTGTGGACTCCCTGTAAATCGTTCATTTCAGTTACCATGTATCCTTCATTTTTGACTGGTTCTGTTTTGTGACCTTTTTTATGACCTTTTTTATACTGTTGACATTCTCTCTAAGTCCATCTGCTCTTCCCCTACGCTGGCTGAGCATCCTTATAACCAGTGTTTTGAACTCTGCATCTAGTAGCTTGCTTGTCTCCATTTTGCTTAGCTCTTTTTCTGGAGTTTTGTTCTATTCTTTCATTTGGGCCACATTTCTTTGTTTCCTCACTTTGGCAGCCTCCCTGTGTTTATTTCTATGTATCAGGTCAAGCTGCTTTGACTCCATGTCTGTAGTGTGGTCCAAACTAGTAGGTGTCCTGTAGGGTGCAGTGGCACATCCTCCTCTACCACTGAAGCTGGGTCCTTGAGGTACACCCATTGTGTGAGCTGAGTACACCCTCTTGTAGTTGAGCCATGATTGCTGTTGGCATGTCAATGGGAGGGATTATCCAGGCTAATCAGGTGCAAGGATTGGCTGTGACCACTGACCAACAACCTCTGTCTACGGTGGAGGATCAGCTGTGCAGGGGGCCCACTCCATAGAGCAGGACTTACTTCAGCAGGTCTCTGGTGCTCGCTGACTCCACTCGAGTATGTTACTTGTCGAGGTGGTTGGGTGGTAGTACTGTGACAGGGTCTGTAACTGTCCACTGGGCGTGTGCAGGATCTGGGGCTTCCTGGGATGTATAGGTCAAGGTCAGCTACCACCTGTGCTCTGTCTGGGGCTACTTGGCATAAGCTACAAAGCAATCTGTAGGAAGCTGCTACTGGGGCTGGGCTTGGGGGTGTCCCAGAGTGGCCAAATTGTAAACCAAGGCCAGCTGCTGCAAGGCCAGGCCTGGGGCTATTCATGTGAGGTGGCTTGCTCAGGCCCCATCCTGCTTGTTTGAGAGGATTAAAAAAATCTGAAATACGAGCAAAGACAAGCCCTTCATATGGAAAAGTTACTAGAAACAGCTTGGGTGGGCCCCAAAGACGGGTGGGGTAAAACCTCAGGAAATCATAAGGGTGGGACAAACACTGTTAGTCAGGTTGATGGAGACTCAGATATGGTACCCACCTGCTGGCTCTGAGTGGGCGGGGCTCATAAAAGGATCAATGGCCTCTGCCAGTGTTTCTGTAAGGGAGAAGGCTGTCCCCCGGCTCTCACTTTGATGACAGACACTTCACTTGCTCCCTGTATGCCTCTGGTGCCTTTCAACTGCTGCTCTGGTGCTAGAGTTCAGAAGTGAGTCTGAGTAAGTTTATGTGTGGGCCCTGAAAGAGGAACTGCCTACGAATCCAGCAGTTACTGTCTTCCACTGCCTCCATTCTACCTGTTTTTATGGCCAGAAGTAATGGGGACTTATCTTCCTAATACTGGAATCCTGGGCTGGGACCCCTTGCTCCAGATACATCTCTCCCAGTTTTTATCTGCCACACATGGGTGTGAGGCCAGCTCATTTAATGTCTCTGCTCTTCCTACCAATTTTGATGTAGCTTCTTCTTTAATTTCATAGTTGCAGGACTTCCAATCAGCTTGATTTCTGGTGGTTCAGAATAGTGGTTGTTCTGTAGCTTTATGGCAATTTGGAGGCAGTTGTGTCGGGAGTCATGTTTGCTTAGCCGCCGTCTTAGCTTTTCTACGCTGTCCCTTGTGTCACATCATTTTATGTTGCCCAAACATATTCTATTCTAATGCACACCTTTCTGAATGACCAATGAAACCATACTTTAGGTTTTGGCATTTTGGAGTGACTCTAACTTTGTGTTTCGTTATCAATATGTTAGAGTTTAATACAAACCACTTAAACTGAGATAAAATGGAAAACTGAGAACTCTCATTCACCATCTGAGATCACAGCCGACTTTCTTTTTGCATAAGATTAGTACCATAATCATAGGAAGTGGAAAGATGGGCAACAAAGGGATAAGCCTAGTTTCACTTTTCAACACAGTCATTCAAACATAAACACATTTAAGGCTGCAAACTGATTATTTAAAAAATACAGTTGCAGTTGTGTCTGCATTTGCCTTTGAGAAGCAGACTTTCGGAAAAGCCTGTCTTTACAGAGCACTGTTTTTTAAAATTTTTACTTGTTGATTTTTTTTTTTTTGAGAGGGGGAGGAATGGGGAGGGAGTGGAGGAAGGAGAGGAGGGAAAAACAGAGGAGGGGGAGGGATGGAGAAAGGGAGAGAGGGAGAGAGGAAAAGAAACAAGTATCTTTGTTCCACACACCCGTGCATTCATTGGTTGCTTCCTGTCTGTGTCCCACACGGGGATGGAGCCCACAGCCCTGGTGCACCAGCCTACAAACACCTGAGCTACCCAGCCTGCAGAGCACGGCTGAAGGTTAGTGTTCCTCATTCCAGTGGAAACACTGGTCAACGTGAGGAAGTCAAACCACCTTTCCCTAATAGGTGTCATTTGTTGTATCTTGCATGGATTTGAGAATTTAATAGACAATAATATTAATGAGGACAAAACTTGCCTTAATGGAAAACAAAATTGGATACATTATCATGTAATTTTGGCATCTCAATCTGATGCTGTAGGAGACTTGAAATAAAACATTGGCTAAACAGAATTTGAGGAGACGTAACCAAAATCTAGACTTATTTTCATCTCTGAAATTTGGAAATTATTGTGGTACTGCCAGAAAATCCATTAATTACTTCAGTTGTATAGTACATTCTAGAAAGTGCTACACATATTAAAAGGTAAACAATTATAACACACTAGAAACAGGAAAAGAGATTTCAAAATGTAAGATGGATCTTTTCACAGCCCTTCATTAATAATAAAATATTTCCTTCAGTGAAAGAAGCACACGCCTTCATGAGCAGAAACTCGATCCCACATCTTGTGGAGTGATCTCTTTTTCTCCGCCATTACTGCAGTTGTGAAAGAAAGATGATACAGAAAGCTAAGTCTAGATTTTAACTCACCACCTAATTTTACCTCCTGGCTGAAATTATCATGACAATGCTCACTAACAGCGAGTGCTGAAGGAGCGCCAACAGTGGTCTGAGCACTGACGGGTAACTGCGCATGTGAAAACCGCCCCGGGCACATGGAAGAAGGATTTGAGGTTCTCTCTCCATGATTTGGCTACAGCCATGGGAGCCAGCCACGAAAGTACCAAGGCAAATTGAGTTCTGAATGAAGTTTGGGTGCCAGCTGGAATTTATGAGTTCATGTTACGAAGTTCAACCACAAAGGTTACCCTGTACCCTTTTATCTCATAAAACATAATAGGTATAAAAGGGAAGAACTGAGAAGACCTTTCTCAGAGGCTGGCAAAGCAATTTGCTTTAAAATAAAGTTCAATGGCATGATAAGTAGGTGCTTGCTGTGAACACAGGAAGAGAGCAGAGAAAGGACAACGCCAGGAGGAAAATGAAACAACACTATCATGCTCTGAAGAAAAGCTGCTTAGGGACAAGAAAAGCATGTCAGCTTGCTGCCTGGGTCCCACAGAAGGCAGCTTAAAGGAGCGGAAATAAGAGATGAAAGGAATGGCTCAGAAGCTGAATCTGGCCGGGTCAGTGAAGAAGCATACAGGACGAGGACTGAATAGAGAAAATGAGGAGTCCACAGGGTAGGGAGGGGATGGCCACTGATTTCCAGCAATTTTATGCCAACTCTGACACGAATGTGCGTTTTTCTAAGAAGGGGGTCCGCAGCTTTCAGATTTGTGAGCAGCTAGATTATAGGAACCGGCTGCAGCTGTTATTAAGTCCCAGCTCCTAGAACAGTCCCTGTACCTAGTAGGACTCAATATACAGTAAATTCTGGAATTAATCCTTGAGTGAACTAGGTCAGTGCCAAACAAAGATTAGGAATCACTGGGTTAGAGCGAGAGTTCTATGTGTAATTAATATATCAACAGTCAGAATCCAAGAATAGGTTGAGAAAAACTTCTTGCCAACCATAGAAATGAAGATCACATGGAGGGTTAGCAACAGGGGAGTGGGAGAAGGAGAAGGGGGGAGAAGGTACAGCAAATAAGTAGCATAGACAGTAGGTAGAAAATAGATGGGGGAGGGCAAGAATAGTAGGGGAAATATAGAATCCAAAGAACTTGAGACACATGGTCATAAACTAAAGGGGGGGAATGGTGGGGGGAGGGGGTGTGCAGGGTGGAGGGGAACGGAGGGGGGAAATAGAACAAATGTAATGGCATAATCAATTAAAAAAAAGACATAAAAAAAGAAAGAAAACAAGAGTGGTGGCGAGGCTGGAGGCACGTGGCAGTGGCGGACGAGCTACACACGTGAATGAAAGGAGGCTGAGCCAGAACTGAGAGCCAAGAAACCCAACACTTGGGTCAACAGGGTGATGCCGTCGGAAGACAACGGGGAAGCCGGGCAAGGAGCGAACACTGTAAGGCATACGCAACATCAGGGAGTTAGATGTATTTTCTACCCTGTTTACTTAAAATGAGACACAAAACTCAGGAAATGAATTGGATTTAATATCTCAAACTGACTTTATGTTAATTTGAAAGTTAATGAGATGATGCCTATGAGAGAGCCACTGAAAGTCACTGGCTATTTCAATCCCTTAAAAATGCATAAAATCATGGAAAATCAAACCAGTAGCTTTTTTTTTAATGTTATGAAAAACCTAAAGACAAATCTCCATGCTACTGAAGTTTATCTGTGCAAGTAAAATAAAAGGACTGAAAAAGCAAAAGAATAGAGTTCATGTGATTTCTCAACTAATCCTTGTCTGGGTATTACCTTCCTAACCAATCACAGCCCGGTCCCTTAATCTCGTGATCCCTACTGACTGGCCCTGACACCTCCCTCTGCTCTCAGGAGCACAGGCCCGGTCCTGTCACACTCTCGTCTTATTGTTGTTGGCCACTTACCTCAAAATGCTGGGTGTGTCCACCGTCCTTTTCACTTTCTTTGCTATGAACAACAATAAAACATCATAAAACGTCAATGTGTTTGATAACAATACTTTTCATCCACTGAAATTATGATTTACTTTATCTTAAAAAGTAAGCTGAGTAGCTCTAAATAAAATTCTTATACAACCCCAAAACAAGACACAAAAGTAATCAGATCTAAACAAAACAAACACAGAAGCACAAACATGAATATGTATTTGTCTTTCACAGCACCAGTGTAGATTTTTTATTCTAAGTATTTTTCTTGCTATAAAAACACTGTTGGTAAACATATAGTACATTAATTCTATTCTCTTTAGCTCTTATACTGCACACTGCATTAAGTGAAAAAAATCTATTCATAGTGTCATAAACCACGTGAGGAGAACATTCTAAAATTACCTGTCATTGGACATCAGTTCAACACCATCAGGTCGCGCCCTCTCATGAGATGGTGAGGAATTGAGATGTTCCATATTCTGTGACAAAACAAGTCATTGGTTGACCGATACAAATGGTAAGAAATATGCAACAGCAGATTCTCCCTTCTTCAAAACAGGAAAATCAGGTAATATGCAGATATGCCTAGTTCCAGTACTCCTATTTCTATATTTGTTAAAACCAGTAAAACTATGATAGTTTATTAAACACTGCTTGCATGAAAGAATATGTTAAACTATCATTCCTTTAGCAAAGATATCTGGCAGCATCATAGCAATGGTCATTGTACCCTATGATGTCCTGTTAGGTAGTACCCACATTTTATAGCTAAACAGAGCAAAACCCAGATCACCAGAATATATGGGTAGCATCAGAACTAGAATTGAGGAATCTGACCTCAAATCTAACCAGAAACTGATGTAACATTCACTGCTTATTTAACAACTTTTCAGTTTGTATTGCTAATATGCTTTGGGTAATACATAGTTAAGCTATAAAACATCATGAAAAGAAGTGGGGTTAATTTAAGAGCCTTTCTGTAACATTTAACATTAATCTTTATTATTTGCTAAGATGAAAAAAATGCAAATGGAAAACTTACTTTGAATACCATGTATTTCATGCTGACCAAGAGGGCTTAATGCTTATCAGGAAGCACATCTGTAAGATTTTTTGACTGCCTCTGTGAATACCAGCCAGTGCTTTCTACATGCAATTCGGATGACTAAGCACAGATTAAGTAAGCAATTTCTATGAAGATTAGAAATAAGCAAACAAGAGCATTTTTCTGACATTCAGTAGACTCAAAAACATAGCTGATTTGGAGATGTGGACATGAATACCACTGAACTCAAACATTCATATCTACATTAAAAGGTCTTTAAGCATGCCCTGGCTGGTGTGGCTCAGTTGGTTGGAGCATCCTCCCCTATACCAAAAGGCTGCAGGTTCGATCCCCAGTTGAGTCTATGACAGGCAATCAATTGATGTTTTTCTCTTTGCCTCTCTCTCTAAAAGCAATGAAAAAAATGTCCTCAAGTGAAGATAAAAAAAGGACATTAAGCACAATTCACCTACTCTGTATCATTGAAAAAACAAACACATATTGAGGCAACATGTGTTCATCTACATATTTATAACCTCCCATTATGGAAAAACCCTTTAAAAGTAAATTTGATTAAGGATCAAAGTAATCCCATGAAATCTAAAAAAATAAACATATAAATAGAGTAGGAAAAAAATCTTTGGCTTGGAGGATGGATGAATTATTTTTCATTTATGTTGGTTTGAAATTCTAGAATTTTTCTAGAATTCTTGAAGTTTAAAATGTAGGCTGCATCAAAGAACAGAAACAAAGGGAGACAGCATAATCTAACTTATAGTGGTGGTTTCATCATTTACCACCTGTATGACCCTATTTGACCCTCAATTTGCTCATATGGAAAATGGAGATGGTGACAATACTTAACATAGTGTGGTCACGAGGATTAAAATAAGATAATATGTGTAAAGCACCAGAATAATACCTGGTATATTTAATAAATATTAGTTGTTGTTACTGACATCATTATTTCTAAAGCCATGAAGTCCCCAAGGAAAATATTTTACTATTATTTGTTTATAGGTAAGATGATGTTCCAGGAACTGAACTCTGATTTATATGCTTAGATAACTCACAATTAGATAACTTTAATAAACCTGAGAAATTAAAAAATATGACAAGTATATTCACCTTTTTATACCTCTGAAATTTAAGTTAGAAGAGGCCTCTTTAAAATGGCTCTCTTTAAACCAAAGCAAAATTGCTCTTATTACCTGAATGTGATCTTCCTGATAAAAAGTGATATGCCTATGACAAAGAACCTTTGTTCCCATTGGTAATCTTCAGTAGGTTATCAAAATCTTTAGTGTAAGATCTAGTGCAATAGTATTAGGTTTTCTAAAGTTCTGAAACATGAATTCTTAGCCAAAGCACAACCAGTTACCTTCAGGCCATTTTAAAACAGTATCAATGAAATACATTTATAATGATATGCAAATGAATATTTCAAAAGAGATAACAATCTTTAGATTAAGGCTAAGAAATATTCAGAAAGTAAGAACAAAAAATAAACCATAATAGCATTACATAAATTTAAAGATATTTCTTTAGTTATTAAATTTAGAAGACATTAGAAGATTGACTTTTTCCTGAACAGAAAGAACCAAGATATAATTGATGTAGGTTTTAAGAAATATTCTTAAAAGATAGGTATATTATATAATTGAAAGCTCTGCAATAAGCAGTCGAAAATGTGAGAAAGTCTAGCTCATCTCCAGGGTAAGTAAGTACTAACTTATTCAAAATCTTCCCCACCTCACTTTTAAAAAGAATGTTTGGTTCATATACTTAAACATTTCCCAAGGCTCTGAGTTTTTATAGATGTAATTGACAAATGGTGACTTTCAATATTGTTCAGTATTTCTCTCTAAAGCTTTACAATAATTCCAATTTTCAGGTTGTCCTCCACACATTTGAGACTGTTGAATATTCAAGGTCTGGTTTCACTAAAGCAGCATGCAAGTACACAGTGTTCCTTTGCTATGGTAGTTGAGGTTTGCCCCATGCCTTCTGGAAACAGGAACATGTGAGGAATGTGTTATAGGTAGCAACCTATCTCCATTTTTTTTTTCTGGAATGAAACTAACAAGGATAGTGAAGATCTATGAGTACAGTAATGGAAGTACCTATTTCCATGGGTGCAAAATGTTTTATAAATTCTGACTTCCATTCTTTGTCTACGGTTTAGGGAGGGAAGATTAAGGTACGAAACAGATCAGCAATTTCCCCACTTCACTGATATGAGGGAAGGGGCAAATGGAATGTATAGGTTGTAATATGGCTGAAATGTGGAATGCTTTCACTGTACGAGAAGTACATTACTAGACTTTCAAGTGTTCGGTAGTTGTAAATAGTACTTGTCTTAGGAGAAAATACTGGTTTGATGCTTTTTGAAGGTTTTGAGTTGTTTTATGTCTAAAACACTTTTCTAGGTGTGGTAAGAGTAGTTCATTAATGTTTTCATTTATTAAAGGTTGAAGTTAACAGAATTCTTACAAAAAATGTTTTCTTGCATTAACTTTTAATTAGCCTTCTAAAGTTGGAATCTTTTACAATAAATAGGTAATTTTAAGAAATAGCAAAGACTTCCAGCCAAGATGGAGGTGTAGGTAGGCACACAGTGCCTCCTCGCACAACCAAAATAAGAACAAAAATTTAGAAACAAAAAACCACAACTGACAGAAAATTGAACTGTACAGAATTCTGACAACCAAGGAGTTAAAATAAACACAATCATCCAGACTGGTAGGAAGGGCAGAGTTGGGTGGTTGGGAAAAGAGGGGTCATGGCAAAAAAAAGCAGTGGCTGGCGGACCCAGGGTGCACAGGTGGCGGCTGGCAGACCCAGAAAGGCAGGCAAGGAGGCTGGCTGACCAGGTGGTCACATATTTGCCTGCAGATAAACCAGGCAAAACTGAGGAGTGAGACAGACTGTGCAACCCAGAGTCTCAGCTCAGGGAAATAAAGCCTCAAAACATCTATTGAAGACACCTGTAGGGGTTGAGGCAGCAGGAGAGACTCCCGGCCTCACAGGAGAGTTTTCTGGAGAGATGCACGTGGTCCTAGAATGTACACAAGCCCACCCAGCTGGGAATTGGCACCAGAAGGGCCCAGTTTGCTTGGGGAAAGTGGGGGAAGTGACTGATATCCGGCAGAGAGTGAGCAAGCACCATTGTTCCCTCTCAGACCCCTGCCACACAAGCAGCATCACAACCCAGCAACTGGGTTGCCTTGCTCAGAGTGAACATCTAAGGCTCCGCCCCTCACTACCTAACAGGCATGACCAGACCAAAAAACAATGGCTCAAATGGAAGAACAGATCAAAGCTCCAGAACAAATACAGCTAAGTGACAAAGAGATAGCCAGCCTATTAGTTGCACAGTTCAAAACACTGGTGATCAAGATGCTCAAAGAATTGGTTGAATTTGATCACAAATTAGATGAAAAAAAATGAAGGCTACATTAAGTGAAATAAAGCAAATTGCACAGGGAACCAATAGTGATGGAAACAAATCTTGGACTCAAATCAATGGAGTGGACCAGAAGGAAGAAAGAAATGACCAAATAGAAAAGAATGAAGAAACAAGAATTACAAAAAGTGAGGAGAGGCTTAGGAACCACCAGGACATCTTTAAATGTTCCAACATTTGAATTATAGGGGTACCAGAAGGGGAAAGAGGAAGAGCGACAAGTGGAAAACTTATTTGAACAAATAATAAAGGAGAACTTCCCCAATCTGACAAAGGCAATAGAATTCCAGGAAATCCAGGAAGCTCAGAGAGTCCCAAAGGAGGTGGACCCAAGAAGGAACACCCCAAGGCACATCATAAGTACATACATTAGCCAAGATTAAAATGGAGAGAATCCTAGAAGCAGGAAGAGATAAGGATACAGTTACCTACATAGGAGTTCCCATCAGAATGTCAGCTGATTTCTCAAAAGAGACCTTACAGGCAAGAAGGGGCTGGAAAGAAGTATTCCAAGTCATAAAAGCCAGGGACCAACATCCAAGATTGCTCTATCCAGCAAAGCTGTCATTCAGAATGGAAGGACAGATAAAGTGCTTCTCAGATAAGGTCAAGTTCAAGGAGTTTATCAACACCAAGCCCTTATCATATGAAATGTTAAAGGGACTTATCTAAGAAAAAGAAGATAAAAACCTGTATAGTAAAATGACAGCAAACTCACAGTTACTAACAACGACACCTAAAACAAAAGCTAAAGCAAACTAAGCAAACAACTAGAACAGGAACAGAACCACAGAAAGGAACAGAACCACAGAAATGGAGATCACATGGAGGGTTAGCAACAGGGGAGTGGAAGGGGGAGAGAAGGGGAAAAGGTACAGAGAATAAGTAGCATAAATGGTAGGTAGAAAATAGACAGGGGGAGGGCAAGAATAGTATGGGAAATGTAGAAGCTAATGAATTTATAAGTA